CTGCCGGTGGCTCAGCTGTTGCCTGGCTATGTGCTGCCCCTCAGACAGGACAGCTGGAGCCTCTGCTGTCACGGTTCACGGAGGAGGAAGAGCTGCAGATGACAAGGATGCTGCAGAGGATGGATGTCTTGGCCAAGGTCATGCACTGTGCCATGACAGGCTGGGCAGCGGTCGTCCCGCTAAGGGTGGAGGGCTGGGGTGTCATGGACCCTGGGACTCAAGCAGAGGGTTAGGGCAGCCAGGGAGTGGGGGAACCTGCCTCACTTGAACCACAAACACACTCTCTCACCCACCCCCTGCACCTCTCAGAAGGCCACAGAAGTGGGCGTGCGGCTGATGGTGGATGCCGAGCAGACCTACTTCCAGCCAGCCATTAGCCGCCTGACGCTGGAAATGCAACGCAAGTTCAACGTGGAGAAGCCGCTCATCTTCAACACCTACCAGTGCTACCTCCGGGTGCGGCCCAGCCCTGCACCCTGCTTGCCGGCTTCCGGGCTTAGCTCCAGCCCCCCAGTGCAGTGCAACTGGCCAGACAGCCCATCAGGAGGGATGCCCCTTATCTGAGCCCCTGAAGGGTAGCCCTGGTGTGGGCACAGGCTTGGGGGCTTGTAGGGTGGAGGGAACAGAGAGCACATTGTGCCTCTGAGGGTCTTCAGCAACATCAGAGCCCATCCTGGGATGGGCCCTGCGTCCCAGAAAGGCCTCTGCCCAGGCAGCTGTTGCCCCACCCCAGGTGCCCCAAGGGGACTCCACCTGGGAGCACGGGGGTGCAGGTCCCTGCAGCCCAGGGAGGCCCTGGAAGGAGCAGGCTCAAGGATGAGGTCCTGTCCTGACTGTCTTTGGGGCTCAGCCCAGTATGGCTTCCTGTGACTTTTGGCCCGGTCCCGGCAGGACGCCTATGACAACGTGACTCTGGACGTGGAGCTGGCTCGCCGTGAGGGCTGGTGTTTTGGGGCCAAGCTGGTGCGGGGTGCCTACATGGCCCAGGAACGCACCCGTGCCGCGGAGATCGGCTACGAGGATCCCATCAACCCCACGTATGAGGACACCAATGCCATGTACCACAGGTACACAGCCCCTCTCTGCCTCTTGAGCTTTGACACTTCATCTGCCAAAAGGAGATGGGGATTTGCAAGGTAGGGAGTGAGAAAACAGGGCCTGGGAAGATTTAAAAGAAACTTCATGGGTGGTGATGGCCTGACAGGACAGACTCTGGAGCGCCCACCTAGGGGCACTGGGAGAGCAGCCTTGGCTGGCACTGTCCTGAGGCCAGAGCTGTTACTTCCTCTGCTTTTGTTTCTTTTGTTCTACTTTTTCAACATCATTAAGGGTTTTTAATATAGAATAGTCTACTGAACAAAATAGAACCAGCCCACAGACCCCTCCCCCAGCCTGCCCCTGGCTCTCAGCTCCGGGCTGGGACAGGCCTGGGGGTCCTTGAGGCTCTGCACCACAGTCATTTACACACGGGGGCTTGGCAGCTGCTCTGCACATTGCTTTTATTGCTGTCATCTGAAGACCACCAAACAGTGTATCTGGCTTTCTTCCCAGCAGCGCCCAGGTTCTAGAAACATTCTGTGCACATACAACCCTATCGTTTTTACATGGTACACTCGCTTCTTTGCCCTTGCTTTTTTCCTTTAATGCTCTCTCTAGATCCTTAGGTGTCAGAGCATACAGAGTAGCCTGGTCCTTTTTAGCAGCCAACACGGCGCTGTTGTGATTGTTTGCCCAGTCCTTGGGATCTTTTCGGTGGTTTTCAGTCTACTTGTTATAATGGCAGCTCACTGAATATCCTGCCCCATCAGCTAAGGACACAGCTGTTACCTATCCCTGGAAATGTATTGTTGGCTCAAAGAGGACATGCAGTTTACCAAGACTGCCAGACTATCCTCCCTCCAGGACAGCTGTGCCAGCTCACAAACCCATCCTGTGGTGGAGACACCCACCCCCTACCCAAGACCTCCAGGGACCTGGTTCCGTGTATTTCCCCCTTTGCCTACACAGAGACGCACCGCCCACTTGGTTTGTGCTCCTTGGAGCAATCCCACAGCTGCTCCTCCCTGGCTGTGTAAGGCCCCGCTGGGAGCTGTGCTGGATCTTGACCAGCCCCACGCTGGACTGAGGTTGCCTCCAGTTTTGCCGTTACCAACCGTGCTGTGCCCAGCCAGCAAGTGTGCATGCCTGCATTACGTGTGAGTGCGCTCACTGTGGGATACTACACTGTAGGGCATATTCCCAGAAGCTGCATCTGCCACCTGTCCCCACCTGCGCCCTTGTGGAGCCATGGCGTGTTTGAGGCAGGAACCCGCCATCTCAGCCGGTCTGAGTGTTTCCTTTTACTTGAACACAGGTGCCTTTTTCTGTGTTGAGGGCCTTCTCATTCTTTCTTGGCGAATGATCTAGTCCCAGCTGTTGCTCATTTTCTCCTGGTTGTTGCTCTGTCTTGTTCATGTCTTGCTGACCTCCATCACTGATGAGTGACAGATGGCTCTGCCCCTTTCTCCTGATGCCATGGGCCCTGCGGGCCTGCCTGAGGCCTCTCCCTGAGTGAGGCAGCAGTGCAGGGCCAGCTGGGGCCAGGCTAACTCAGGTGTCTCCCCAGGTGCCTCGACTATGTTCTGGAGGAGCTGAAGCACAACGCCAAGGCCAAGGTGATGGTGGCTTCCCACAACGAGGACACGGTGCGCTTCACACTGGGCAGGTAGGCACATCCCTCCTGCAGCCCCGGCTG